GACAGCCTGTGCTACACAGCTCTTTCTTACTCAGCACAGTCAATGCTGTTGTCTTTCCATTCTCTTTAAGGAAACTTGGAAACTGGAGCTTAAAATAAATCTAAGGACTTATGTGAAGTAGCAGAACCTAACAGCATCATCCAAGTATCTGTACTGTAGTGGGCAGAACACGACACAGTCTTGGGTCTTGGATTAATCACTTCTGTAGCTTGCAGACACATACACATGAATGCACAGACACATGAGCCTGAGATACAGGCTACTATTTTCATTTAGATAACTGTGACTTTTCCTCTAAATGGACAACCTGCCCACATTTTTTTCTTTTATCATGAGGTGTTGGTTTGAATCTGTAGAGCTAAGAACAGGCAGGCTCTGGTTATTTAAAAAAAGATTACTTCTCTCCGCAAACGACAGATACGCAAAGAGTCAGTTGCTAATGAAAAGACATTCTTTGTTGAGCGAGAATTGTATTGCAAGTGAGTTAGACGGATATAAAGCAAAGGAGATCAGGTCCCAGGGTTATGGATATATGTGACCAGAGATTGCCAGTGCCTGCCAATAGAGAGGGGGCAGAGTGAGGGCAGCTGGCTTCAGCACTGTTACTGAGCATGCTCAGTACAAGCCAAGCACCAAATGGGGGGCAGGTGCCCCCCCATCACATCTGCCTGAAGCATCCTGCCTTCTTCACTCATGCCTTTTAGTTATTTTTTAGAACACTGTTTTCTCACTTTTTATTTTGTTGTTCCTTCTCTCATGTTTAACCTGCATATAAATCATCAGGGACTTTGCTCAAAGCACCCGTTGAAGGCACTTCAGCAAAGCATCTTCACTACTTGGGCATCTTTTTGTTCCTCTTTAGCCCGCACAAAGAGAAGCGTTAGAATCACAGTCCTGCCACCAAAATAACACCTGCTTTTAAATCTGCGACAAGCTAGTAAAACTGAACCACTATGTTATAACCCTGATTACCCATTACAGGCTTCTGACCACATCTCAGAGGTGACTGTTAAATGGATATGGGATTATGGTGTAATATAAAGAAACCAGTGAAGGACACATTCAGCAAACCATGTGATAACTGGCAAAATGGACAGTCTATTTAAGAATGGCCTACAAGTGGAATAATAGGGAATCCAGCAGGCTAGGCCTCAGGGGCATTGGCAGAGCTGTGTAGAGGAAGATTGTAGAGGGCTGCCAGTCTGTAAGATGCATGGCTCAAACCTTGATTAGTAGGTTTCTTGCTCTTCCATGTGCTATATTCATTCACCACTTTTGTAAACACAAAATCCTGCATGTAAATCCCTGCAAGTCAAAGTGGAAACATTCCCCCCTGCATTGCATCACATTTTGTACCTATCCTGTTTATTCATAAGTGTAATTTGTTTGGGGGCATTTGTTCTCTTGGCATTATTATACGGGGGAGATTTATGTGAATAGTTCCTGTTAACCTTACTGGAAATTGCACCCATACATTCTTTGGGCACTGACTCCTTTCTTTTCCCATTACCTAATTTCCAATATTTTATTCTTCAGTTTTATGTTATATTCCCTATAATTCCAATTTATTGCTTACATCCTGCCAAAAAAATGCCTCATTATGCACTAGATGCATTTGCAGATAAATTGAGTGCCGTGATGAACTCAGTACTATTTGTTTCCTCTACATTTGTTGGGAACTAATCAAAGTAATCCAAAGTAATTGGAAAAAAATAGCAAAATACACGGAAAAACAAACTGCTGCTAATATCTATTGAAAACATACTGATTGTAATAACATTCTCTTTGCTAGACAAATCACCTAAAATAGGTTGATTATTTATCAACAACAACAAAATCTATCTCCATCCTAAAAACGTAGGGACAGTTATTAAGATTTGTCTGAATCTTGGCAAAATCTATTCTACTTTTTTCTTTGGCACTATGATGTGCCCTTGTGTGATGCTCTAGAGGACACTGGGCATGTAACATGGCCAAGGATCCTCTGAATGCCAACAATAAAATATTTCACACCTGCAGTCAAGTCTATGGCCATATTCTTCCTTCCTTTAATTAGTCATTAATGAAATTGTTTAGGCTAAAATGGAAATTGGCCCTGTGACATTAGCTGACCATGCCCACAAGAATTCCTGATGCACTGTTGAAAAGTATGGTTACGGTATGGTCAGAGTCAGCGTAAAAAAGAAAATATAAAAAGCTCAGAGAGGCCCCTTTCAAAATGCTACAAATATTTTAATGTTTGTGAAAAGAAAAGAAGGAAGAAAATTAATGCGATCTCAGATACCGTCGTTCACTGAAAAAGATCTCAGTGTCAGTAGAACTAGTCTTTAGGTTTTATCTCTATTTCCCTTTCCTCATCCTCGCCACAAGCTTTCATCTGACCAGCGCTGATATGTGCTCCCTCCTCTTCCCACTCACACTGCATTGTCCTATAAAGTAAAGATTCGTTTTTGTGAACATATTGTTAGATATTCTAGAAAATAACTTGTGGTTAAGAGAAAGTTTTATTTAGTGGTAAGAGCATCAGACCGGAAACCAGGAAATCAGAATTTTAATTTTGGTTCTGCTACTGATGGTCGCTAGATGATCTTGGGCAAGTCATTTCACCCCCCCCCCCCGTATCTCCATCTGTTTATACGTAACATAAGGATAATTGGGATAATGATATGTATCTTTTTTGTAAAGCACTTTGAGACCTACTCACAAAAACCTCTAAGAATTAGGTATGATTATAATTATTCATAAAGTTTGAACTGCACCCTCAGGACCTGACCGATGCTGAACCATGCGAGGTCAATACTGTCTAGCAGCATTACCAACACTTCCACTTTTTACTGGGCTCTTCGAAGACATTTAGGGGAAAATTAAAGCAAAATGAGAACCAGGACTGGTGGCTATCAGAAAACTTTATGGAAGTGCAGGATACTTGGCCACACCCTTGATAAGCGGACATACAACAAACTAAGATCATACCAGACCATGGATGTTGCTGAACAAAAGGGTGCCGGACTAAAGAGATTCAACCTGTATTAGTAACAGTAAAATGATTTGACATCCTTGAGTGAAAAGTACTAAATAAGTTCAAAGAAACTTCAATTGTTTCAGACTTCAGATCACATCAGACTTTTAAAACCATAGGAACATAAAATACTAGAACTGAAAGGGACCTTGAGAGATCATCAGGTCCAGTCTCCTGTCCTCATGGCAGAACCAAGCACTGTCTAGATCATCCCTGATAAATGTCTTTCTAACCTGCTCTTAAATATCTTAGGTGATGGACATTCCACAACCTTCCTAGGCAATTTATTCCACTGTTTAACCACCCTGACAGTTAGGAAGTTTTTCTTAGTGTTGAACCGCAATTTGTGTATACTTTTCCATTTTTTTTCCCCGAGAGGCTTTTCCAAAATGTTGCCCATCTATAACATTTCAGAAAAACCCAAATTTCAGAAAAACCTCCTCTTTTGGAACATCCCTTATTCCTCATATTATGAGGAATCCAGGGATGCCGAAGGAACACGTCCGCTTTTTTGGAAACTGTTCCCTGGACTCGGCAGAGCTTTTCCGGGCTTTTCCTACATAGCCTTATTCTTCTTTTTTTCCCTAAACTAAACAAGCCCAGTTCTTTCAGTCTTTCCTCATAGCTCATGTTTTCTAGACCTTTCATCATTTTTGTTGCTCTTCTCTGGACCTTCTCCAATTTTTCCACATCTTTCTTTAAATGTGGTGCTCAGAACTGGACACAATACATCAACTGAGGCCTAATCAGTGTAGAGTAGAGCAGAAGAATGATTTCTCGTGTCTTGCTCACAACACTCCTGTCAATGACTTAGTCTATTCCAGCTTTACTTTCACGAATAGTGAGAAGATAATTGAAGCACAATTTATCTCACAGTGGGATACACAAAGATACCAATGTAAAACTATAACAATCTTGAGTTCTGTGTCTGGCTTTGTAGTTTTTTGAATTACTACTAAAATTGTTGAGGGTCTTAAATTGTAAATATCTTACTCAAATGTTCACACTCAAGTACCATCACAGAGCACAAATAAAATCATCCTCTCCATGAATTCCGATAGTCCCATATCAGATCTATAGTCGAACTTCAAGCACCTCATTCATGTATAATTTATCAAAGCCATTACCACTGTGGTGAAATGACTATTGTTTTGAAATGATATACTGAAGAAAACATCATTATCTAGGAGCTATAGTCTATTAATGCATTCCTATTGATTTATTCAGTGATGTGCCCTGTATTTTGGCCCACAAAAGCCTTTGTAAAATTCACTGTATCTATTAGTGCAATTAGTCTATATAACCACTCGGCAGGGCATGGTTCATATTGTTTTCCTTTTTGCTTTTAGAGTAGACTGCTCAGATAACATCTGGGCTATTGGAGAACAGATTTTAGGATGCAGTGTCAATAGGAAAACACTATATTGGTTTAGACAGGGACTCGCCCACTGTTCACTATATTGGTTTGTGAACAGGGACTCATCCACTGTCTTAATAACAAACAGCAGACACAGGACAAACAGAAACGAAGTCACATTATTTCTTTCTGTGTGTCAGACATTCAGAATGTTGAATGCCTAACAATTATTCACAGCTAGAAACTAAAATAAAATCTTCAGACATCAGAAACCAGGCTGGTTATTAAAGTAATATTTCCCTTTACAAAACAAAAACCAAACTTTTGTATAGTTCACCTGCCATCAGCTTCACCGAAGCATACAGTAAGGTGGCTCTTTTAGTAGCTCCAAATTAGGCAAGTCAGCAATGGAATAATGAAAAACGTAGACCATTCTGCATCTGCACTCATCTGACAAAATGATTTCTGCTATATCACTTACTTAGTTTAATAATGCCATAGCAGTAGGTGTGTTTTATTTCAGAAATACCTCTTGCTTTGTCTTGACATTTATCTAGCAGCAGGAGACCATTATCCTGTGACAATGTTCTATTCCAATGACATTAGTTCTTAATTATAACCCAGATTCCTGGTTGGAACCAAGGAAAGGAAACTTGATTGGCCATTGGAATGTATATTAATTATCTAGAAGATCCTCATACCACAGCAGTGCTATATTCAGACTGATTATCCTTGCAATTCTTGGAAGAAATGAGGACTCCATGGGAAAATGGTAACAAGTTCTTTTTTGTTTTGTTTAATAACAAATGAATTAGATTAGCAATAACAACCTTAGCCCATGGCATTTCTGGGGAATTAATGAGCAACTGGCATATATGGCCTGAGGCAAAACTCTTCCAGGAATTAGGTACCTAAATAAGTGGCCTAATTTTCAGTGTAGTTGTGCTTCCACAGGAGGGACCAAGAGGAGGAATCTAGAAAACCAAAAAGTATGTTTTTTTTTAAATATTGTTATTTAGCTTTTTTAAAAACCTGTTTGCTCACATAGCAAAGCAGCCACACAATTTTGTACCACTACCATTTCTGTTCAGTAAAACTCAGGGCTCAAGCAGCAAGAATGTAGCAGCAAGCAGCTTCATAGCACTTCTTAAAACTGTACTCTCTTTGGAACAAGGATTGTGTCTTCCTATAAATATGGAAAGCAACTAGCCCATTTTGGGTTTCACTGCAACAACTGTGAGTGTTTGCAGTTTGTACATTAATTGCTATATAAACCACGTGATCCTACATAGTGCGAATGTGCATATCCATCTCCATCTCCGTATCATGAGCACCATCTTCAAAACGTAGGCTAAAACAGCGGTTTTCAAACTTTTTTTTTCTTATGACTCAGTTGAAGAAAATTGTTGATGCCCACAACCCAACATAATTTGACTAGAGTGTGGGCTTCAGGGTGGGGCTGAGGATGAGAGCTTTGGGGATTTAGGACGGGTTCTGGTGGTCAGTGCTGGGGCAAGAGGGGTTACTTGGAGCAGCTCCTGGTCAGTAGTGCAGCAGGGATGCCAAGGCAGCTTCCTGCCGCTCCTGGTACTGCAGATCACGCTGTGCCCCAGAAGCAGCTAGCAGCAGGTTCCCAGCCTATGGGAGTGTGGAGCTTGTGCTCAGGGCAGGGGCAGTGCACAGAGCCCCGTGTGCGTCCTCCCTCCCCCCGCAAGGAGCCGAGCCTGCTGTCAGCCACTTCTGGGGCGCGGTGTGGTCTGTGGTGCCAGGACAGGCAGGGAGCTGCCTTAGCATCACTAGTGGTCCCCTAATCACCCTGCAGCAATGAGACTCGGTGCCTGACATTCACCAACCCAGTACTGGGCTGTGCTCCATCATTTGAAAACCACTGGTCTAAAATAAACAAATACAATTATTCAAACATATAAAAAGATTGTATGTGGTTTCCCTTGCAATATGTGAACGAGAAGCATCTTGTTTGAAAAATTAGAGTCTGAATTTTAGCTAAAGGCTGGCTCTAGTAATGTTTCAGCAAATAGAATAGCAAGGAATGATACTGGATATACTGTCTGCTTAGAGTATGTTAGGGTTTCAAGGGCATTGTGAGGAGGGACTGCCATTTGTTTCGGTCCAACCAAAATATTGCTCAGAAAAGCTATTTAAACTTTCTTGTCTGTGCCCCTAGAAAACTCTATCAGTTCTTTGTGGGGGGGGGGGGGTTTTAGATCATAGAACTCATCTCGCCATAGAAAAAAGACCAACAATTTCCACATTCAAGATAAAACAATACACATTGTCACTAGAGAATCTAAGTTCTGTGACACCATTTTACCTAAATCCAATGGCTTAATCCCAAGTAGCTTCTTTCATCATGAATGTTCTGCATCCTCCTATGAAAGTGCCAAATTACAAAAGGCCAGTATTATAAAACTCCTGTATTTCCAGAAAGCAGAAATTGATGCCACCTAAATCCCAAAAGCCTGGATTCTAAAGGCCTGTTAAAGGATTTCATATAATTGCAAGGAAGCTAACTAGTCTGCCTAGGTATTCCTAGAGTCTGAGAACAGTATGTGATTGTAGATACAATATATGGGCTGCAATAACAACACATAGCAGGGGAAGTTGAGTTCAACCTTTACCCTGAAATTCCTGGCTTTTGTGGGATTAAGTCAAAATCTTAACATTACTTTTACTTGGGTATATTTTTTTTACTGAATTTAATATTTTTGCTACAAAGTTCAGCATTGTTTCATGCTGGGACTAGCATTAAATGAAGGTGTGACTATTAAGGATACATTGGTGACTGAATGCAAGAGGCTAAGTTACCCAAAGATCCTTTTTACATGGAATTTTTTTCTTTTAATATTCCTTTGACTTTATCACTCGGTTCTTGGTGAAACTGAAGACGACCAGGAGGAAAAAAGGCTACAATTTACAAATCTGAAATAACAGATGTCTCTAAAAGGTGGGAATTAAATATTTTGGACCAATAGTGTGAGACTTGGGATATGAAGTAATCACTCTAAATCATACCTCATCTTAATTTGAGCTATAAGGACAAAACAGCTTTTCCCAAATTGAAATTGAGATTCTAAAAAATAACCCAGAACCAAAACCAAGAGAGCAGACTTATTTTCTTAAAGCATGCATTCCATATTACCAATAATTGCAGCACTAATTCCATGCCTGTCTTTTTAGTTATTGTAATTGATGGGAGTAATCAGACTGGAGGATAGACACTTCTCTCCTTTTTAATTTTTGAAGTTATTGCAGGGTTATATTAAATGTCATGGTAAATAATATAATTTACACTGCAGGTTTTCAAAGTATTCCAAATACAGGCTTTTAGAAAAACAAATTTTAAAAAGCCTTTGCACTTAATGGAATGAATAAACTGCTAGTTAAAGGCAGCAGGAAACTGACCTCTGCAATATTCCTGTGTTCCAAAGTCATGACAAAATGGATTCAAGCCAGGCAACAGGATTCTGAGACCCAGCAGCCTCTTTCCTTTTTGCTGGCCATCTGCAAGGTCATACCAGCAGCAGTGACCCAAAAGATCATTAGCTTGCACAATCTTAAAAAGGAACATGTGGCTCTAAAGTGTCATTGCATGTCTGTGCAGAAGTTTGGCAGAATTCCAAGAAGGCAACTAACGTTAAGAAGTGTTATGTTCCTGCTGGCTGTCTCCCGTGGTCCTTGTACTTCCTGGTCCACCTGCTGATCACCTGAATTGCCCTCCTGCTGCTTCTCTTCACCTGCTGCCTACCTGGTGTTGCCCTCCCACTGTACCTTCCAAATGGTCATTGCCTAATGTGGCTGCCTTCACCAGCCATTAAGAATTTACTTCCATAACAGACCAATTATTTTTTAACTTTTCTACCCAAACATAGGGGGAAGGGAGGCTTTCCATTTGTTTTTTAGAGCATAGACAGTATGAAATCCCCAGACACAATCCTGCCCCCAAAGCATGCATCAGAAATTATGTCATTAAAAAACTTTTCATAACAACAGCCTTACTATTAAAATGCTCAGGGATGATTGACCTTGACATCCAGGATTAAGGCAGCATTATTTTTCTTGATTACCAGCAGCAGAATAGTAGGGAAATTATAAAGCCATTGAGAGGATTAATACAGCCTTGATCTCGCTCTCTCTTGGCTCTTTATCTCAAGTGATTAAAATTCCCCAGGAAAAAAAATGGTCATGTAGCATACGCCTGCTGCCATGGATAGATACTGTATCAGCTCCATGCATCAGCTCCCCATGACAGCCAATGCAAAGGTTAATTATATATGCTGTATATAGTTTTAATCACTTTAATCAGAGCACAGTTATCATCCATCCCAGGCTATAACTTTTCTGCAAGCAGGAGAAGCACTTCAAGCCTGGCAATGTTTGTTTAAGGGGAAAAAAAGAAAAAGAAATATGGTACATTAACTAGAGACAAAAAAGAGAATGTGAATGCTATCAGCTGAACAACAAGACTAAGCCTAGGCATCTGTCTGTAAATGGAGGCAGGATAATGATGGGTGATTGAAAAAAGAGAATTAGAGCCTTTCTCCAGTTTAGGGTTAAAACCAGACAGCAGTTCACTAGCTGAAAATCTGAAACAAATCACCTTTGTAACCAGGGGCTCTCTCTCCATCTCCAAATATGCTCATAGGTACTGGAAGTAGGGCTAGTGGGTGCTGTAGCACCTCTGTATTGAAGTGGTTCCCATTATATACAGGATTTACAATTTGGTTCAATGACTCTCAGCACCCCATTATAAACATTATTCTAGCAATGTAAAAGGGGAATAAGGAAAATAAGTGCATTGTGGCAACATCACTGTTGTGATATTACAAAAGTCAAAAGTCCCCTGATCTGACATTAAAACAATGGATTCCTTTTAAAAACTTCTGCTAACATTATTACAGGTCTCAGTGTTCCTGGCTCACATCTTAGAGTGCGTCTACATATCACCTTAAACTTGAAATAAGATACATAATTTGTGTTATGCAAATTGCATATCTTATTTCTAATCAATGCGCTATTTTGAGCCATCCCTTAACCCTCATGCAACAAGGTTTAATGGGATGGCGAAATAGCACACCCGTTACTTTGAAAAATATTTCAAAATAATGGGCAGCTTCTGTAGACATGGGGTAGGTATTTTGGGATACCTCTGGTATCCCAAAATAGCCGCACAGTGCATACGTACCCTTAGTCAAACACATCTTTCATTTAGGGGAGTTTTCCTAGAGTGAGTAGTATCAAGTGTTTATTTATTAAAGGATATTAACCCCTGTGATACGGGAAGAAAGTGCCATTCTTGGAATATAAAAAGAAAAGACAAATCTGCATTAGTTTCTCCCAGGCCAATTGTGATTAATGGACTTTACTGTGATTACTGTACTGGATTACTGGTAACTGGACTTTAAGTTTGTGGACACTGCCCCAGGCCCCCTTTCAACCAGACTTTCTGGTTGAAAACCGGATCCCTGGCAATTCTAGCAGCAGCTGATCTACCTGATGCAATACAGAAACAAGCCCACAGCGTTGCTTGTGTTCTCTAGACCAAACTTATCCTCATCTCAAGGCTCATTTACATCACAATAAAGCACTGTAATGCACAAGGTATGATGCTACATCTGCTAGATACAATTTTCAGGATGCTTTACTGTTATATTTCAAAGGAGGATTCCAGGACCATTAGCTGGCCCTAAATAAGCACTATACTGCAAGGGAGGGGGGGGACAAGCTACGACAGGTGGCATGTGGACTCAAACTCCTCCCTCGTTGTTTTATCAGGCAAGCAGACACCTAAAACATTCAATTGTTTCCTTTTATTTCATTTCAGCATACCAAGTCTTCATGGACTGAAAAATCAAACTGGCCACCACCAAGAGAACATAACAGTGTGTGAAGAGAATGTATTTATTTGGGTTTATTTTTAAATCCACCCATCTGTGAGCATATTTCCAGAATTATACAATAAACCCAAATATACAAAATATGTAATCCTTCCAAAGGAAGACTTTTCCTCCATCCAGTAAAACCTATTCAATCCACCTAATTTGACTCTTAAAGATACTGCTGGGTCTGAAATGTCCTGCTTTTTCCAAATCCAAATTTTATTGTCGATGTTGCTGCATAAGTAACCAAACTATATTTTGATTCCTGTTCTATCTCTTTTTTCCTTTATATATAAACACCATAAACATAATTTTCTGGAAATAAATATTAGAAAAGGATTCAAAACAGGAACTGTGAATCTGAATCTCTTTACAATTGGAAGAAGGGGGATTCAGAGTCAAAACCTTAGATCCAAAGTCATTTTGATCTTCTGTTTCTGCACTGGATCCAGACCAGGAAAATGTTATTTTTCGGTCTCAAATTTCTGAAATTCTCATTAGAATGACTATTTGTGAAATTTTGTCATTCAAGATGACGGATCTTGCAAGAACTTCATTTCACAAGATTTCTATCACGTTGGAGCAAAATCTCAGGAGAAGAACATAAGAAATGTCAAAGCTATCAAATCTGAACTGAAATCCAATTCAGTGCCTTCCTTTAACTGAACTCAACCCAAACCCTTGGCTAAACCCCATCTGGATCCAAACATTGCCTCTTTGGCCTTTTTCCAGTTCATTCCACTTTTTCCAGGAGATAACATCACATAAGAAATCTAGTTTAAATAAACAAGATAGGCAACCAGAGAGCAAAACTACAACAACACAAGTGAAATTTGATATTGGAAAAGCAAGGCATTTCTGACCAAGTACTTAAGGTACTGCCCTGGACTCAAGAGATCCATCTATGTTCAATTAGAGACTCTGCCACAAACTCCCGGTGTGACTCTGGCAGATCATTTAATCTCTCGGTGTTTCACTTCATCACAGGAAAACGCAGATAAGACTTGCTGCCTCCTACCCTTTGCACATTTAGGTCTATTTAGATTGTAAAATCTTTGAGGCAAGGACTGCTCTTACTAGGAGTTTGTACAGCACTTAGCACATGGGGCCATGATTTTGATTGGGGGCATTACGCTCTACTATAAAACATGTCAGGTATATCATATAGCTCATTAAACTATAGGTCATAAAGCAGGAAAAGTACATCCCGCCCTCCCCACTGCACAATCACCATAGAAAAAGAGGAAACAGAATTCCTGTTAAATTTCCCTCCATACCTTGCCATCCATAACTGCTAAGGACTGCAAGGCCAGGAGTTCTTTGGGAACACCTATACTTCTGGTACTCATGCAATGGTTCAAGTCCATACCTACCCCATCAGAACATTACTCCATTAACCTTTTGGGCACACTTCAAAGGGTGACTTTCCAACCAAGCATTTGGGGAGAAACAATGTAACAGGAAACCTAAAGTTCATTATTGATTGACGTGTTAGAATGATATGGGCCTGATATTATTTTATAATATGGAATGATTACTTTAACATTTGAGTTTTAACTGCTGTAAAAGCTCTGAGCTCTGGATGGTAATTATCAGTGAGATAAACCTAAAGACAGAAAATAATTATATAAGGGAACCTTGATTTTTAAAGCACCTCTGCATTGCTCTGCATAGGCTGATTGAAAACACTCTTAAAACAGAATCAGCTCAATCTCAAAGCGGAGAAATAGTTGTAGCAATGTTTTGCATCCTAATTTACCAGCTTCCAAGTTTGCAAAATGTCCACACAATTAGAGTAATTTTTTTAAATGTTAAAAATATATGAGTAAATTTCATGCATACACATACTCATATATTTTATTAGGATGACTGAAAATTTTATAGCAAATTTTCATATTACTTTTTAATATAAACTGGACTGATTGATTGAAGTTGTTTCATAAGTCCAGTGTTCCCTCTAAGCCAGGGGTGTCCAAACTTTTTTCAAAGAGGGCCAGATTTGAAGAAGTGAAATGCGTGAGGGCCGTCCCCGCACTCTCAGCCCCAAGGCGGAGGGCCCGCAGGGTCGGAGGCGGGCAGAGAGCGCAGGGCACGCCGGCCTCACGGCGGCCCGGGGGCAGGGCAAACCCGCAGCCGAGCGGGGGAGTGGGGCTGCGGACGTGCCCTACAGGGCAGGCTCTAGGACCGCGGAGGCCATGGGGGGCGGGGGGGCCG